GGTATCATAAATTTGCAATAAAGATTGGTTGTTGATAAAAGCTGAAAGTTGATCTACATATTTCAACATCTTTAATCTTCAAAATAACACCGGGGCGGTGGGGTAGCCTCATAGTTCGCTCGTCACGTTCGCTCGTCACGCCGAAGACCCGGATTCGATTCCTCACATTGGTACCATGTGTGAAGCCCATTTCTGGTGACCCCGCCGTGATATTGCTGAAATATTGCTAAAAGCGGCGTAAAACCAAACTCACTCACTCACTCAAAATAATAACGTGAAGTTTAAAGTTAATAAACTACTTCCGAAAAACAATATTTAGATTTCGTCCCAATTTTTTTTCTAGTAATTCGAACACAAAATAGAAGGTTTTGTTTTTCCTTTCTTTTCTTCTTTTTTTCACTTTCTGATATTATGAAAAGTGATCAAAGACGTCATGTGACATGTTATGCCTGATCGCCCTGACCGCCGGGTTGCCTGACCATCCATGTATTAAATCGCATCTTTTTCGGTATTTAATGACCAATCTGACCCCCAAAACACGTGGTTTACTTCTGTACTGTACAAACATCTACGGTGGAACGATTTAACACCAGAATATTACTTTCATTCTTCCATGTGCTATGAAAACACTGGAGCCAAGACGTCGACGTTTAAGTTTGGCTATTTACCGTTCTGTTGGCATACTTGTTTAGGTTATCTTTCATCAAGGAACGTAACCCATTCTTGAAAACATGAGACCGGTTTAGAGTCATATAATATGGTGTTAAATGATAAGCTTTGTCATTGCTTCTGATATTTCAGTGATTTAGTTTAGTTTTACGCCGCTTTTAGCAATATTCCAGCATTATCACGACGAGAGACACCAGGAATGGGCTTCACACATTGTACCCATGTGGGAAATCGAACCCGGGTCTTCAACCACAAGGCTACCCCACCGCCCTCTGATAATTGACCTCTTGATTTTGTCTGTATGAAAAGCCATATACTATGCATTTGTTTTCCGATTTCATAATGAAATATATATATACATAATTATTTGATCAAACAATTTTAGGACAGAATTGATTCATTTCAGTCCATGGTATTTAAGCTGTTGGTGTGATTGTAGAATATGTCGGGTCGAAATGGGATAATAACACAGAAGAAAATATTAACTATTTTTAATCAATATGGCACTATTATACAAACACAAGATTACTTTTTGTAATAGCATCATGTTGCGATTTCTGTTGAAATGTTTTTTGTCATGTTTTACCTATGTGTATGTGTACCGAAGTTTCACTTCAATACAGAAAGTAGACTTGGTAACAACATATCCCAACATATTAAAGTCGTATTACATCTGTATATATGTGTATAATGTCAATTAACTGCGAGACAGTCTACCCCCAGGATGCCTTTCTACATAGTATTTGTGGTATCAACATTAACTGACACGGAGCAAGGCAGACAAACGACAACAGTCAATGCATCATCGCAATAGACACGTTTACATCAGAATTCTGTCCCTTTAAGAAACAAGTCCGATAGACTTGCGTGGACCAGGCAGGTGAGGGGATGAGGGCATGTGACAGACAGACAGACAGATATTTTATTTAAGTCTCACCTCATGTAAATATACAGATATATACACACATATACATAAAATTAGCCACCCTTTAAGGGTTAAGAGAGACTATTACATAGAAGTGACATATATGATAAAAGTAACAATATGAAATTTGCCATATAAAAGATGTTTTCATCTTTGAAGTATATAAAAGCAGGTTTTGGCTGTAAAATAAACATGTTCTTTAAATAGTCAAATCCTTTTTTCATTATCACATAAATCTAGGAAGTTGGGATAGCTGAAACACATCATATAAACTTTCACGTAGATCATCGTACAGCGGACATTCCAACAGTACATGACGTTCAACCTCAATCTTATCACTACATTGAAAACACACCCTTGTGTGTGTGCGTGCGTGCGTGCGTGCGTGCGTGCGTGTGTGCTGGGGTGGGGTATGGCTATATATATGGATATGGGGGATTACGTATGGGTTGTGGCATACCCGCCGTCAAGACATCACGTGAGCGAAGACAGGTCACGTGATAAACAAGAGACTGAATACCAGGAAGTGAGGCGCGGAGAGACAGGCCGCTCACAACGGTGTAGTTATTGAGGTATGTCAAACATTTAGTCAACATTATGCAAACATAAAGATTACTTTTTGTAACAGTACCGTGTTACGATTTCTATTCTCATGTTTTTATCGTGTTTTACCAGGGATAATCTACAACGTTATATAGTCTCCCTGGTTTTACCTATGTTGGTATGTGTACCGAAGTTTCGTTTCAATACCGAAAGTAGACTTGGTAACCACATATCCCAACATATTCAATTTCAGTTACATCTGTATATGTCTGTAAAATGTCAATTAGCTGCTGAGATCTTATTGCTGGAACAGTCAACCCCCCAGGCCATCGCCACCACTCGCCTCTTTCCGTAACCTCCAAGAAGACTCGTCCCCCTCTCGATGCTTGTTATGTGCGAAAATACGACAAACCAATCAGAACGCGCGTAAATGACTGCTGTGCTTTAGTAAAAATAATCCTGAGTACTTAAATCGATTATGTTGAAAGTAAAAAGAACTGAGCTAACAGGATTTTGCTGCCTATTATGAAGTTTTTGATAAGAATCATGCGAATGACGGTGAGAGATTCAAATACACGCACGTGCGTGTGTTGACAAACGGCTCTCATGGGTCCAACTGAGGGTGTTTCTGACGATCTTGCGGGCTTGCTATGGAGATTGTACGTGCGGTTCCAACATTTTCGGAAAAGTAATTCTAAATCGCTTCGAGTTTCAAAACAATAATATTAAACATATATCTGCATGTAACTGATCAACTTTAATCTTTAACATTGGGCATAGATTCTATATTTCACAACTCTGGGAATATTTTAGTCTGACATTTTTTTTGGTCATTCATATATTTTTCAGCGAATTCATTTAATATTCCACTTGGGGTATGACAGCAAGGTTACACGAATGTTCAGTTTGAGAAATATTTTAAAGTCATTTTTGAGTTTCTGCTTTGGGATTTAATGTAGCTTTTATAAATTGTATTTACATACTTAATAAAATAAGTCCCTATGGTGATTATCAAATCTTATTTAGAAATATATTTGGAAATATAAGGTGAACATCTGATAATAATTACGTGAGAATAAGTCTGTAACAAATAAGTTTTTCCCCTTCTTTTAGTTGTATCAAAAAGGTTTAATTCTTAAAAAAACACAAACAGCACTGCAATGTATGAATACTTCGGTGATATTAAAGGAGAATACGAGTGAATTGCAATAATTTGCTGGGTGAAAGATAAAGTCATCAGAAACATATTCCCAAATCTTCAATTAAAAATTATGTATAATTATGTTTTAATCGCGAAAACAGTTTCTGTAAATCTCAGCTTCAGCCATTATGCATATTTCGCTGGAACCCACGTGACCTTTCCGCTCGTGACGTCAAATGTGCCTGGAGTCCGCCATATTGCCAAAGACCAAGCGCTACAGTAGTACAAATCGTGTTGTTTCTGTCGTTTTTTTAAATGGTACGATGGTGTATTGCGTGTCCTGGGTATACACGGCATCATCGAACATGGGAAAGAACCACCATTTCTTCCATTTTCCAAGTGAAATGACAGATTTCGGCAGGAGAAATGCGCCGATCATTCCGAGTCGGACGCATATGAAAGAGACATGCACGCATGGGGTATGGAAATCCCCAAGCTAGGCTGAAGAAGGAAAACGTATCCACGAGATTCATTTATACTCCATCATTCCCTGTAACAACTTACTGTCAGTGGTATTTTTAACATAAATTAGATCAAGTCCGGTTGCCAGTCGAACTGCCCCCGCTACAAAATGACCCAGCAAATTTGGTCAAATTACCCCAGTGGGGTAGTCAAAATGCCCCAATTTATTAAAAATGAATAAATATAGGCCATAAATGCATAGTTTTTGGCAACTTTGATATTATGTTCTTCATATATAAGTATATACATAGTTATGAGTTTACTAATGAAACTTTTATCAGAAATATTACTTCCTAATAACTTTATATGAAGAACATAATATCATAATAAGTTGACAAAAACTATGCAATGACGGCATGTATTCAATCATTATAAATAAATTTGAACAAATTAGAATGAATGATCAAATTTGCTGGGGCATTTTGTGGTTGGGGCAGTTCGACTGGTACACATTAGATATATATTATCAAAATCAGTAAGTGAATTCACATGAGCTTGAAAATGTTTCGCTTTAACGTCTTTTCGGTTAGGACCCCTTAATGATGCAGTCAACTCGAAACATTGCCGACTACAACGGCAAATCATAAAGTACTTGTTGCTTTCATATTTTTCCATTTTGTCCAATTACGCACGTCGGCATCAGACTCGCTATTTGTCAGTGGTGTGTGCCGTGAAAGTTGTTCTGTATTCTCATTGGCTGACAAGATGTCATTCTAAGGCTATGACCGAGTACCATAACTATTTCCATAACCAAACATACGTTGTCCTTACTAGTATTTTATAATTCACCAGTTTTCGGGGAATAACTTAGCTGCGTCGCGAATATTATCTCTGCTCAACCAGGCTGGGATCTTGTATCGAGACTTGATACGTTATTAATGAGAACTAGGATCCTAATTTTTTTCAACAAAATAATTCCAGTGTAATTTTTGAAGCAGATGATTTTTTTCTCCCTCGTCTGAAGCATAAATATTTTGTTTTTAAATCCAAGACACCCTACAGTCACCCATTTGACACAAAATGAACTGTAATCACATTTTTACAAAAATAATTCTTAGTGACTGGTCATATATTTATAGGGGTGAGTTTGCTGGCTGGAACTTTATGACATTTTGCTGACAAATAATAATCTTGTTATATGATATGGTCTATTTTTAAATGTATTTTGACCTCAAGCGGTGCCTCCGTTTCGCTTGATTCTTCTTCTTCATCTTCAGTGGAAGATTGTTTTGCAAGAGGTAAAATCGGATCGTATTGATACGGTCTAACATCCATTTCAGAAATGACATCAGGAACATCTTTTACTGCTTCAGAATCCACGGACACTGTTAAGTTGTGAGGTAAAATCAAAGAGAAAGCCATCAGCAACAGGCATTTATGACGTCATGTCACGTGATAACCCCTCTGCTCATTAACTGTCGGGTGTTTCCGTAATAGGCGGAAATACGAGTACGTTTTTGTGTTTTTATTGCTATTTTACAAACTTTTTGTTCAATTTTAATCACGGAATGTGACTTTTAGAATATTCTTTACAATATATCAAAAGTTTTGTTTTCGTTCGTATTCTCCTTTAAGTACCATTGGAATCAAACAAGAATTGAGTTATCGTTCCTGTTTAAAGTAGTTCTGATGTTCATGCGCCAATATGAAATCCTCCCAGAGGGGCACGAGTCGCTATTTGGCTTGTCCCGGAATAATACGAGTTGGTCACGAATGCCCCCCAGGATGCCTTACTACACAGTATTTGTGAAATCAACATTAACTGACATTGAACAAGGCAAGCAGGCAAAAATACACAAGGCATCCATGCGTGACCAACTCGTGTTATTCCGGGACAAGCCGAATATCTTCTTGGAGGTTACGGAAAGAGGCGAGTGGTGACGAATGACAAGGCATCGTGGCAGTAGACACGTTTACTTCAGAGTCATGTCCCTTTACGAAACAAGCCCGATAGACTTGCATGGACCAGGTCAGCCAGCGACATACGAGGAGAGAGTGGGGGCGGGGCGTGTGTGTTGGGAGGGTCGGTAGGTATGTCTATTTATAGACACTAAACGCCAAAAGAAACGTTACCTTCCTTCCTTAATGAATTACTGAAAAACTAAATGCATCTTTTTCAGAAGAGATAAATTGTCCTACTTTCGACCATGCCGAAACAAACCAAAAACAGTGATCTAGATGTCCCCAGAAAGGTTGAAATACACCCTGCTTTGAGCCAAAGATAAACCATTCAAAGCCACCATTTCTCAACTATTAAAACAAGAAACAACTGTTGTAGAGTGTGTAAAATTGTAAAAGAATTATTCCTATGATTTCAGTCTTTTAACACATTTTGTGCTGATTAGTATTAGTGAAAACAAGTAAAACGTATCTTTGAGATTGTGAAAAAGTGTTTAGGAACATCTACAATTATCTTTGTTAACATTTATGCTTGCAAAGTAACATTTTTCCATTTTCTGTTAACACATAGCAATATCAATCGCCTAAACGTAGCAATATTAAAACAGTATGTGCATAAATTTCACGTGTGGAATGATTCTATAGGGTACAAAGAGAGACTAGAATGCATGATATGATATACAAGTGCGAGAAATATGCCACGATTAACAGCTGAAGAGAGAGAAAGAGCCATTGGGATGGTTCAGATGGGGTCGACATACAATGCTGTTGCCAACGTCCTCGGATGCTACCGTATCACAGTTACAAGAAACACAATCAGCCACTTTCAACACAGTTGTACCTCATTTGTCACCACTCGCCTCTTTCCGCCTCTTTCCAAGAAGACTCGTCCCCCTCCCGATGCTTGTTATGTGCGAAAATACGACAAACCAATCAGAACGCGGTGCTTTGGTAAAAATAATCCTGAGTACTTAAATCGATTATGGCATTATGGCATTGTTTAAATAATCAGAAAAAATATATATCGTCATATTGAAAGTACAAAGAACTGAGCTAACAGGATTTTGCTGCCTATTATGAAGTTTTCGATAAGAATCATGCGATTGACGGTGAGAGATTCAAATACACGCACGTGCGTGTGTTGACAAAACGGCTCTCATGGGTCCAACTGAGGGTATTTCTGACGATATTGCGGGCTTGCTATGGAGATTGTACGTGCGCTTCCAACATTTTCGGAAAAGTAATTCTAAATCGCTTCGAGTTTCAAAACAATAATATTAAACATATATCTGCATGTAACTGATCAACTTTAACCTTTAACATTGGGCATAGATTCTATATTTCTCATCTCCGGGAATATTTTAGTCTGACATTTTTTTTGGTCATTCATATATTTTTCAGCGAATTCATTTAATATTCCACTTGGGGTATGACAGCAAAGGTTACACGAATGTTCAGTTTGAGAAA